CCTGAGCCCGGTATCGTGTGATTGTGCTTCTACTTCTAAGGCTTGTTGAAGAACTATTGATAAGTAGTTGTTTTTCATCCTAGTGGGCCCTATAGTTATTTTTAATTATGTTTTGTTCTATTTGAGAGGCTAAAACCTGAGATTTGTATTTATTTCTTTACTCCACACTTTATGTATTAGTGGCTTGTACAAGTGAAAACTATATTTTGGGATGTGAGTAGAATGAATAAGTTTTTCCCTTTTATTTTGTTCTTTGTTTATGTTTCATTTTGTTGGATTTTAAAAAGGTGTGAATGGAAAATGAAGATTTGCGACTTTTATGAAAGGTGGCGACTTTTCTGAAAGATTGTGACTTTTTCAAAGGTTTGTGACCTTTCCAGTAAGGCACAATAAGAACCTTTTCGCACTATCCTTTGTTTTCTATAAATTGAGGGATTTCCTCTCATTTTAAATAGAATTTATGGATTCTTTCTTCAACTATTAAATCTAGTATTCTAAGTGTACTTTACTGCCGTTGAGTGGTTCACTGACACCGGAGTTTTCGGTATCTATACTCTGGTGATTGAAATCATTTTACCCTGGGAGGTCTTATTCCAAATCAAACCTCGAATACTAGAGGGGAATAATTTCCTTAAGGGGACACTGTGAATTCAGTGGACTTGATCTTTTTCCTATTAATTTTTTTTCAGATTCTGGTATGTGTTTTACAAACTTTAGATTTGTGAATTAATTCCAGTTCTTTTATTCTTTTGTTCTTCACTAGTTCATTAAACTTGGTAACTTCGTGTTTCTGCAAAGTTTGTTGAAATCAGTAAGATTCTTTAGACACATATTAACAACAATTCCTCTTTAAGAAAAATATTTCGTATATATTTTTTTTAAAAAATGTGTTTCTGATTCTAGTTTCGCTACTAGTTTTAATTTTCTAGTTGTGAAAATGTTCTTTAACTTTGTTTTCTTACAAAGATGATCAAAGTTTTGTTCTAGGTATGTTTGGAATATAAGATGAACAACACATTTTTCTTTCTTTTCGTTGGGTTGAGGCTTATTTATCTTAGTGGAAATAGAAAAGTGTGATCATACCACTTCCTGAATTGGCTTACTCAGCATACTAATGAATGCTGATGGATGCATTTTTGGTCCATGGAAGTTATATTTCAACAACATAATTTTCACCATTTACCCAAAAGGAAGAAAATGGTGTCAATCTTTTTATAATTATCTTAACTTTGAACTGCATATCACTCACTCCAACTGACACATTTTGACATTATTATGCATTCTTCTAAAAAAAGATCAACAAAATGTTTTCAAGTTTGCTAATTTCATTATTATTAAATTTTAATAGAGACCTGGAAAGGGTCGAAAAGATTTCATATATATTCTCGAAAAAATATTTTCCTTAGAGGGAAATGCAATACACATCTCATATTCCCTTTAATTTTTCGTCATAACAAACTGTCATGTAACAGTGAATATTAATTATTTACAGTAATAGGAGACCTTGGAGAGGAGTTCTTCTACTTGGTTCTCCTGACACAGGAAAAAAAATATTGGCCAAAGATATTGCTAAAGAGTGTGGGATAATATTTATAAATATTTCTGGTAGTTCGTTTTGTGGAAAAAATTGCTGGATAGAGTAAGCGATTGACACGGTGCTTATTTGAGTTTGCCCGTACTAGTGCTCCAACAACAATTTTCATTGATGAGATTGAATATCTTGACAATTCTATTATTCTATTATGGCACTACTAAGAGAATCAGTCTCATCGATGAAAATTGTAGATCGAGCATGAGTATGGGTAAGCTCGATTAAGCTTTGTGTTAATTGTTTACTCTCCCCATACCCACACTTTGTAGCAAAAATTTTGGCCAAAATATTTTCCTCTGTGTCAAGAGGATCAAACATAAGAACTCCTCTCTAAGATCTCCTGTCCATATTAAAATATGTTATGTGACAATTCGTACCAAGAAAAAATTAATGGAAATACGATTTGTGTGCATTTCCCTCCAAGAAAAAATATTTTGCAGGAAGTTTTATGAAATGTCTCAAATAATATTTTCACCATTTTCTTTATTTATCATATAATATTTTGGGATATTAAAACAAAGTAGAAAAAAGGTAAATTATAGTTAGTATAGTCATAATCTTTTACCTTCTTGCCATAAATAATCATCCAAGCATAAGGAGGATGATTGGGGGTAGTCCGAAGACCAGACATAGGACTATCAAGGTGTTGTCGAAGGATTGAATTCTGGGACTCTGATAATGGCACATTTGGTTCACTATTGGACATTATAACAATTCTTTCTCTCAATTTGTCCATAGCTTTCTCCAGATTCTTCTTCTTCTACAAGTTTTTCTTTCGAGTGTTGACATTATAGGAATGAGTGTCCAATAATATCACGAACTTATTCTAAGTATAACAAATAATTTGTATTGATGTTCCCTAGACAAGAAATTCTAGTAATAATAATAATAATAATATGGGTATGGTTTAGTTTGGAGATAAACAAACGAGACTAGCCACTTACTGTAATATGTATTGGGACTATAATTTATAGGCCTATATATAAGAATCAGGTGACGAAATTGGGCAAGAAATGGGTTGTAAATATAGCAAGATATTAATTATTATTCTTCTTTTGACTCATGGTCAAATGAAAATAAAGTAAATCTAGAAGGAAATTAATTATTATTTGGATTTTGACTCATTGTCAAATAAAAATAAAGTAAAAATACAAAGATATTAATTACTTTTTGATTTATGACTTATAGTCATTTGAAAATAAAGTAAATACAGAAAGATATTAATTATTATTCGACTTTTGACTCATAATGAAAGGAAAATAAGGTAATTATAGAAAGATTTTAACTATTATTTGATTTTAAATCATGGTCAAATGAAAACTAAAGTAAATGTAAAAACGTATTAATTACTTTTCATTTTTGACTCATATTCAAATGAAAATAAAGTAAATATAAAATGATATTAATTGTTATTCGGTTTTTGACTCCTAGTCAAATGAAAATAAAGTAAATATGGAAAAACATTAATTATTACTTGATTTTTGATCATGGTCAAATGAAAATTAAAGTAAATGTAAAAAGGTATTAATTATTTTTTTGAATTTTGACTCGTATTCAAATGAAAATAAAGCAAATATAGAAAGATATTAATTATTATTCGATTTTTGACTCCTAGTCAAATGAACATAAAGTAAATAAGGAAAAATAATAATCATTATTTGTCACAATCCAACTCACCATGCGATGTGGCACCTACATACTAACACCGTAGTAGGAGAACCATCAATTTCCAACCATTTAAAACATGCGAAAGATTTCGGAAAACTAAAAATAGAAAGAATTCAAGTAGATTTATCAGTAATAGTTTGTAAAAACAATAACATCCCGAGGGATCTAGTCTAAACAGGTACAAGAGCTACTGAGAGTATAGGGTAAAACAAAAGTAAAAGACACAAGTCACACCACAAGGAATGAAATACGAGAGCAATTGGAGATTATATTCGTCTTTACCAATGAGACATCATTGATCCTGCAAGCAGACTATGTCAAAAGACATAGCAAAAGTAGTATCGGTATAAAACATACGTACTTCTAGGCATCATCGGTCAACCCGATACCCACCGCATAATACAAGAAATCAGCCAGTGAAAAACATGTGATAAGACTATTCGCTTCTCGGCCTTTATGTTAATTGTTCACTCTCCCCGTACCCACACTTTGTAGAAAAATCTTTGGCCAAAATGTTTTCCCTGTGTCAAGAGGATCAAACATAAGAACTCCTCTTTGAGATCTCTTGTCCATATTAAAATATGTTATGTGACAATTCGTATCGAGAAAATATTAATGGAAATACGGTGTGTGTGCATTTCCCTCCAAAAAAAATATTTTTCAGAAAGTTTTATGAAATGCCTCAAATAATACTTTCACCATTTTCTTTATTGATCATATAATATTTTGGGATATTAAAATAAAGTAGAAAAAAGGTAAATTATAGTTAGTAAAGTCATAATCCTTTACCTTCTTGCCATAGATTATATTAAATATCTTCCCTTATCCCAAAGATATTTTCCCTTATTCATACTAGATTGTAATAAATACAAATTAGTATTTACGTGACATACAAAAGAGTACATTTTACATAAAAGATATTGAATTGAGAAAAAACTTAATGATTGTATGATAAAATAAATATTGTGGTGTAAATACGGATTGATTTAAGTTATATGCACTGGTTAACGGTATAAATATTATCCAAATAATCAAATTATTTAAAAGATGATTATATATAAATTAAATGATTAGTGAAATAAACTAAAGGACAAGTAATCCTATAAAAATAAATAAGAACTGAATACGTAACTAATATTTAATATTTGGAAAAGTGAAAATGACACTATTATTCTTGAAACCTCAAATTGAGAGAGCGAAAAATAGCAACGGAGGCATAATTACATAATTGAAGAAAGAAAATTGATGGGTAGAGAATGAACACAAATTATTCTTCAAAGGATTGAGTTATCATGGAAAAGGTAATTGGACTAAGATTACAAAGAATTTCTTGCCTAGTAAAACATCAATACAAGTTGTTAGTCATACCCAGAAAATCTTCATGAGAATATTGGATTCTAATTCTAATTAAGATGAGCAAAAAGAGAGCAAAAAATCAAGATGAAGAGCGAAAACACTTGATGTGTTGTGTTTTTCCCCTCATTTGAATTGGAATAAGAATCCCTTTTTTATTCAAACTACAATATTCTATAAATCGGCAAAGCCTGTAGAGAGTACAAAATTTTTATGCTATATAGCATATATAACTTACAGAAAAGAAAACTACAATCGACTAGTAAATAATACTATTACTTCTTTCTAATAACCAACACTACTAGTTCAAATTACAATATTTTATATAGAGAAATGCAAATAACGAAGATGTATCTGCCAACACTTTATTGTGCCTTCCAACACCTTCCTAGTACTTGATCGTTTTTCTTCTTCTTAACAATCTCAAGTCCTTCAGAAGTACAGCATCAGGATCAGCCCCGTCTTCCTGGCCCTTGAGATCCCCCTCACGCTGATCATCTGGCTCCTTCGTTGACAATGCTGAAGTTGTACCATCACCTTTTTGGGCCCCGTCGTCCTTGTTCTTAGCAAGCCTCCCACGACCCTGTTTTTTTGGTTGCTCCAAATCGTCCTCTTTTTCCTTTTGTTTTTGCTTCTTTTGTGTATTTGACGAACTCCCCCTTCTCTTGCTCTTTCCTTTACTCTTTGAATTCAAGTGTTTGCTTTCACCAGGAAGCAAAAACCGTCCTCCATCAATCATAACAATTTCCCCCCTTTCACACATCTTCTCCAAATGATGTTTCAGCATTATTTTATGAGCCCTTGGCAAACTGTCATTATTTTTTATGATAAACTCAGATATCGAGTCTTCATCAGAACCCTCTTCTTCGTCCAATTCCTTCAATGCTTGTTCAATCATCCAAGCGTAAGGAGGATGATTGGGGGTAGTCTGAAGACCACACATAATAATATCAAGGTGTTGTCGAAGAATTGAATTCTGGGACTCTAACAATGACGCATTTGGTTCACTGTTGGATATTTTAACAATTCCTTCTCTCAATTTGTCCATAACTTTCTCCAGATTCTTCTTCGTCTACAACAATTAATTTTTTTGGAGTGTTGACAAATTATTGGATTGAGTATCCAATAATCTCACAAAGTTATTCTAAGTATAACTAATAATTTGGAGATGAACAAACAAGACTAGCCACTTACTGTAATATGTATTGGGGCTATAATTTATAGTCCTATATATAAGAATCGGGTGACGAAATTGGGCAAGAAATGGGTTGTAAATATAGGAAGATATTAATTATTATTCTGCTTTTGACTCATGGTAAAATGAAAATAAAGTAAATCTGGAAGGAAATTAATTATTATTTTGATTTTAACTCATTGTCAAATAAAAATAAAGTAAATATAGAAAGAAATTAATTGCCTCTTGATTTTTGACTTAGTCATTTGAAAATAAAGTAAATACAGAAAAATATTAATTATTATTCGATTTTTGACTTATGGTGAAACGAAAATAAAGTAAATATAGAAAGATATTAACTATTATTTTTTTTAAACACGGTCAAATGAAAAATAAAGTAAATGTAAAAACGTATTAATTACTTTTTATTTTTGACTCATATTCAAATAAAAATAAAGTAAATATAAAAAAAATATTAATTGTTACTCGGTTTTTACTCCTAGTCAAATGAAAATAAAGTAAATATGGAAAAATATTAATTATTATTTGATTTTTTATCATGGTCAAATGAAAATTAAAGTAAATGTAAAAAGGTATTAATTTTTTTTTTTGAATTTTCACTCATTCAAATGAAAATAAAGTAAATATAGAAAGATATTAACTGTCGATTTTTGACTCCTGGTCAAATGAACATAAAGTAAATATCGAAAAACATTAATCATTATTTGTCACGATCCAAGTCACCAGGCGGTGCAGGCACCTACATACTAACAACGTAGTAGAAGAACCCTAAATTTCCAACCATTTAAACATGCGAAAGATTTCGGAAAACTAAAAATAGAAAGAATTCAAGTAGATTTATAAGTAAGAGTTTGTAAAAACTATTCTTGTTAAGACTTGAAAGTAATTAACATCTCCAGGAATATAGTTTAAACAGGTACAAGAGAAACTAGAGTTCAAGGTATAGCAAAAGTAAAAGGCACAAGTCCCACCACAAGGAAGAAAATATGGAAGCAGTTGAAGATTATATTCGTCTTCATCTATGAGACATCATTGATCCTACATACAGACTATGTCAAAACACTACAACAAAAAATAACTTTTAGCGGCATTAAATATTAACTCTAATAAAGAGTGCTAAAGTCTTTACCGGCATTAGTTAAGTGTCATTAGAATCAATGTCGCTAAAGGCTTTAGGGACATATACAAAGAGTAACAATTGCCACTAAAAATATATATTTAGCGGCAATTAAGAACTAAATGCCGCTAATGGTCATTTTTGTTATAGTGAAAGACATAGCAAGTGTAGTATCAGTACAAAACACACGTACTGGTAGGTATCATCGATCAATCCGATACCCACCGCATAATAAAAGAAATCGGTAAGTGAAAAACATGTGATGAGACTATTCGCTTCTCCACGTTTATTTTATCATACCCTTACCTATTCTGGATAATTGACATTACCAACCTGACCAACAACAACCACTCACTGAATAATCCTACACTCCATTCCCGTCTCCACTCACTTATAAACATGTATTACGCCTATCAAGGATTACTATCCCTTCATAAAACCATCCCCTAACCTCCAGACTAATACCCATAATCTCATTCTCAATAACAAACCTAGCACCGAGTCGGGTCCCTTAGTTCCCCCTTACCATACTACATCCAAATTGAGACTACCATCCATAGTTCTTTAGCCAACTAGATATCTCGAATTAACTTACAACATTGCAATCCCCACCTATAAGAACATAAGTACAATCCACCAATAAATTTAGGAAACATGCACAATACACAGTAACAACCTATCCAAGTTACTGTGTTGAAATGCAACACTTGGTCCATTCAACAAGTCACAATCACAAGTATATTTTCAAAAATTACAATCCAGTAATGATTAATGGTACATTCATCTATTCTCATTTACAATTAGTGTGATCAATAACGCAATATCTGCATACTTACATGTATTATAATGAAGCAAGAACAAACATATATCACTTAACATGAAGTCACAACCATCACCACACCTTAGTTCATCTGTTAGGACTTCCCCATTTGCTATACTTCTAAGGTATTACCTAGGCTACCATTAAAACTCTCTTTTTGGTGCACGAAGGTCTACACATGAATTCTACCTTCAAGATCAATATATTATGCAGTAAGTAATAGATTTGTAACTACTTAATTAATAAACCTAGCCTACCATGGTGCCAAGCAGCTACACAGAGTTTTTGGCTTTGATTCTTTTTTTAGGGATTAATGATGGTGATCTTGACCGAAAATTATCGATCCATCAATCTCCTTACGCTAGAAATCTCCTTCTTTTACTTCCACAAGCTTAGAGCAACTTTTGGGGGGGCTTCTAGGGTGGTTTAAATTAGGTGTTTCACGTTATTTACATTTTGTCTTGCCTATCACTCTCTGGCGCCAACTTACCTCGTCAAGGCACCACTACCCCAACGGCATCTAGCCTACCCTGGCGGGACAATGGCCCAGTAATTTCCCCAAAATTTTTGCTTTTCCAAAATAATGACGGTCGCATCATTACATTATTTGATTTTGACTTCTCGTCAAATGAACTGAAATTTATTAACTTGTGCATTCTTGTCCAATAATATATTTATTTATTGCATGTTTATTCAATTAAATGCATATGAAGACTTATTCAATAAACTGTGTAAAGGATATTCATTATACTACGTATTTATAATACTCCCTTTTCAATGTTCATTTATTGATAATGTGTCGTACTGAAAATATTACTAGAAAAATATCAATAAGAAAAATATTACTAAAGAAAGAAAACAATACATATAGTAGTAAGCATTTGCTCGTTGCCTCATTAAAAATCTTATTAGAAAATCGAGTGGGATAAAATCTTAATTAAAGAATTAGTACAATGCGTAATTTACTTCCTCCAATAAAGATCACGATTTAGATGGTTAATCTTCACATTCCGATATTTTATATCATCTTTTCAAGAGTTGAACTTAGTAAGAATTCAATGAATAAATTCATTAGATTATTATCGAAAAGAATTTGTTGTATATTAATATCACCGTTCTTCTAAAGATCATGTGTGACGAATAATTTTCATGAAATGTGTTGTGTTCTATCTTCTTTTATGATGCATCCTTACAGAAGAAGAATATTGCAGTATAACTCCAACTATTTATATCAAATTTTGTACACCGTTTTCTTCATTAATGCTAATCTCATGATTCTGCAACTGTAAACTATATTTCACCTGAATTTTGAAATTCCGTTGAAATTGAACGGCAATGCAAGAAACATCTGGGTAACTTGAAAGGCGTTTGAACGTGATTGCAAGATACATTTGAAGTCATGTAACATTACGAAATTGCCTTTTCTTTACAGCCCCTGAGGTGCCATGAATTAATGACACAGTGCATGATATGCTTTAAGTAAAAACTATAATAGTCAAAGTCTTTTGAAACAAACCACTTGAAGACATTTTCCCAATGCATCTTGTATCAATAGATCAATTAATGCAGCCAAGGAAACTTAAGGATACAACATATGTAATAAATAGCCACAGCTTCAATGTAACATCTCGCAATTCGAAATAGCTAGGAAGAAGCTAAGAACTGAAAATAGTCATTTTTGGAAATAATTAAAAATCTAAAAAATTACCTAAGTTAAAAAAAATGATTTTTGGTCAACTTCAAACGGTCATCACTTCTAGTTCAGGATGAGTTAGGAGAACTTCCAGAGATGATTGGACAGATTTTGGAATCATCTTTCCAACGCAGCCAAGTGTGCGTGATTCCGAGTTTGTATGAGTAAGTTATGCCCTTTGGAAGTGGGGTTTTTGGATTAAGGAAAGTCTAAATCCAGATTTTTTTCAAGGCTAATTTAGTTTTGCCTAACCTGTTTATCCTAATTCGTTTTTAGGAGTTTAATTGGGGTAAATTCATACTTAAGCGAGTTTTAGAAAAGTGAATTTCACGCTAGGGCTTGGAGAAAGGAGAAAAGAAGAGAAAGGAAAAGAACGTTCAAGATTCATCAAGATCAACTTGTGGATTTCGTCGGAGGTGATCCCTACAAGATATGTGAGATCACATAGCTTTGGATTAGTTCTCCCACACTCCAATTATGATATATTTCAGCAAATTTAAATTCTTGAAAGCTTAGAAATTGAGTTCTTGATGGGTTTGTTGAAGTTCTATTAAATTCTTGATTCAATAAAATTGTTGAGGAGTTGTTTGATCCGAATCCATGATTTTAGGTTTGAATATAAGTAGACTCTGATGTACTTTGAACATATAATCGGTTTTAAGTGTTTGAGGAAAGAATTCATGGAGTTTAGAGGGTTTAGAGCTGGAAAACGAAGAAGAAATTTCGTCGGTCAAAATTTTGGCAGTGTCTCCGCGTCGCGAAGCTAGTCCTAGTTTAGGGAAAAATTGTTTTGCCTCGCTGAGTGGTCACATAACATTCTGCCACAAAAGTTATTTTCAAAAAAAAAATTTAATGTTTCCCTCTGTCGCGGACCCACCCTCAAAGAGTGAGATTTTGATCTTTTCACATGTTTATGTATCTAAAATCATTCCTAGACATCACGGGATCTTTCCTATCACAAATCTCAATCCTTAAATTCATTATTCAATTCAAGGATAAGTTAGGAGTAAAGTCAAGAAAAGTTCATCAAATTCTGCATTCCTAAGTTGATGGAACTGACTGAATTCCCTTCTCATGCTTGTAGCTGCGATTTTGACCAAAAACCTCTTTTAATAACTTTAAGTCTTCAAAACTCCAAAACTTCCAAAACTCACGAAGTTTTAATCATATTTCAGAACCAACTTTGTAAACTGATCAAATTTGACATGGGCAACTATCTCGAG